CTGCCACTCTCGTGACTCTGCATTTCAAAGGAGTCATATTGCAGTCAACGAAGCTTAAAAATGAAATGGTCCAGCAACATAATTCGGTTTTAAGAAAACAGTTCCAGTAGTGTAATCTGCAGAGGTTAGCAACAGGCAGTCTCCCTGCGGATGTTTCAACAGCTGCTCTCCTGGAGAGAGCAAGGAGAAGGCTAAATATGATGAGCGCACTTTGTGTGGGTTTGTAAACTGGGTTTAAACCAGGAAAGCTTGCAGCAAACATTTCGGCAGAGTCTTGGCACGAAACTTTTAACCCTGTTGCGGGAGTTCTGGCGTCGCCGCGTCGCTGGTGTAGGCCGGCCTCGTGTTGGCTTCGCTAAGGCAAAAATTTGACCTGCAGTCCTGAACGTGGCCTGTCGTCCTTGCCCCTTCCCCTCTGCAGAGCCAGCGATCGCCTCGCGCTGACGGGAGCAAATCATTTGTGACATACTGTTTATATTCCGTTTTCTTTTTCAGTGACTAAAATGATTGCCGTTTGATGGGAGGCTAGTGACTGAGGAGGCAGCTAGGCGGTTCTGCCGCGGCTTGTTTTGTAGTCCTAAGCGGAGCGTTCCTCCTGAGCAAAGGTAAAGTTGCCCCATGGCACGCGTAGCTGATACACGTCTACACGTGGCATAAAGCAATGTTAGCCTGCCAGTAACGGCAGAGAGGCTGGACCAGATGCTTAGATGGCAAAATTAAGACACCTGTGCTACTCTACACCACTTCAGCAATTTAGTTACTGGAATAAAGATAACATGCATCTTTTGTGGGGAAATATGCAAATATTTATAGAATATAAAAAGAGTTATGTTTTTGAAAAGATTTATTTTTCATTAGCAGATACACTCAAAACGTAATCTTTTAAAATGCACACTTATTAAAACTTTATGCTGTAAGAACATGGAGCTCTCGGCCACAGCTTTTTGCCTGTAGCTCCAGACCTGCTTCAAAGGCGGATGGGGACATGGTGCCTCTTCCGCAGCGGCAGTAACAGGCACAGAGCAGTAAAGGGAATTTACTGCTCCTTGGCAGCCAGTAGATTTCAGGTATCTCGATGCTCAGCCTTGACGCTTGGCTCAGTGTTTCGTTGATTTCTGGGTCTGTAAGTCAGCAGTACTTACAAACCCGTCGCTTGGCTTGTAATTCTAAGCCCTGGATGAAAAAAATAAGGCTGGCTGACAAGCTCATGGAAATAGGAAACTTGCGCTTTGAAAGGGTACCACTTGTGTGAAAAGCGGAGGTGCGCGGCGAGCGCTTGCAGGCACAGCAGTCTGGCTCCGTAGTCAGAATACAGAAATGGGGGCAACAACCCCAAATAATTAACTGCTGGTTATGTTTTTCTTCATATTGTGTTTCACTGGATACACATTTCTTAAACGCGAGGTAGCAGAGCAGTTTCCAAACATACGCGGCCTTCCTCGCCCCTAATAACACGTCCCCTGACAGTCCCGCTCGTCGTGGCTTTGAACCGACCAGCCTTCGCTGAGTGAACCAGTCACCTCTGAAGTACTAAGAACCTGAAGTGCCCTTGCTGAGGATACGAACATCCAAAGGGGTTTTCTCGTTATTATTCGCTCACTGCAATTGTTTGCGTTGTTCTCCTGTGATGCGCGATGCTTCTCGATGACGCTGAAATTCAAAAGCTTTTTTTTTCACTCATGAGACTTTAATCAGAAACCCAACTCTCTGTCCACGCGTATCTTGCTAGGATGCCTCAGGTGTCGGATTTTGTGGCTGTTTCTCCTAGTAAGTACAGAGCATTTGCACACTTTCACATTGCCCAGCATACAGCTCAAATGCAAAATAAATAATCTCTGCATTAATCTCTGCATTACCTTTCCATTCATTAGAAGGAAAGTATATTTAGAAATCTTATTTATTAGGACAGTTGAAGGCATCACATAAATGAAATATGTAATGAATTCTTGTTTCATTTTTAGGATTTCTTGTTTCATTTTTAGGATTTTACTAATGAAATGCTGATTTTAGACTGTTAAATCTGGGCACCTCAAATCCATTAAAATCAAATGCAGGAGAGACATTTGAGGAACCAAACATTGTGATATTAATGAGCTACATTAATTTTGATGGAGCCATGCTATTTTACCCAGATAAGAACTGGCTCATTTATGATAATTATTTCTAGTCTGTAGCACCTGGGACCTCCATTATATTAGGCATTTTCAAAACAATTTACTTTCAAATTCTTCTTTTTATTCTTTGTTAATGTGTTTAACCCCACCAGGTTAATGTGTTTAACCTGGACAGCTCAATGGACAGGAGGTTTTTTTAGAAAGCAGAAGAGACTCTGCAAGAACAGGATAGCTCTGTGGTCAGCAGCCAAATCAAGCGGTTTCAAGAAGCAGGTTTATTTGATAACTTGCTTGGTGGATTACACAATGTAAGTACGCAGATCGCAAACAGAAACCAACCCGGGCTCAAACTCAGTTCATTTAAGGTGGAACAACAGACAGCTAAGAAACACAGGTTACAGCACTGGCCTTGGATTTTCAGAATTATCTGAAGGCAGTTGAAATTAAATATGGAGTAGTAGCCCAGCTTTTTCATCTCAGAAAGCCCTGTTAAGAGCACCAAGAGTTCCTTTTCTGTAATCACTATGTAATGATGTTTCCTAGGTGCAGCTGAGGAAGTTTATCAGTATGTGCCATTTTTCTTTTTTTTTTAAGCATTAATCCCTTATGCCAGGAAGCCCAAATGATCCTTTCTTGTCGCTTTGCAGATGCTGCCTGCTGCTGTCAAAGGCAAGAGCCTGCAAAAAAGTCTCGGGCTGAAAATGAGCCAGCCGAGGGTCTCCCCTACTTCTCCCTGCGCTCGGGCAGGTGAGCACTCAGGTGGGCAGAAAGTCCATCTTTCAAAGCCTATAAATTCGCACAAACAAGGAGGTGGAAAAAGAGCAAGGAGTCCTGTGCATCCCTCCCGTGCTCGCAGCCAGGGAGCTGCTCAGCCACGCAAAACGTGACACATCCACGCGGCCCCAGCGGCTCGTTCCCTGTCCAGCGCTGATGGTACGCTCGGAGTCGGCCGGCCACGCAAAGCCTAGCGGTCAGGGAGCGTTTACCCTCAGCCACTAGAGCTCTGCGCTCTGCCGGGTGTTCGGTTGCCAGCAGCATGCGAGTGGGAGACTCCTGTCAGTTTTCTGCAGGGTTTCATAGCTATTTCCCAGAATATTTTTCAATTCCCACACTGTGAATTTACCGTAAGTTTAAATTTGGCACCCTAAGAAAGCTGCAGTACACAAAAATATTGCAGAACCTCAGGCCATCTGGAAAACCTGACATGCACAACAAACTTGAGACATTTCAGTGGTTTTGCCTATGGCAGGACTGTACAAAAATAACAAGACATTAATTGCATGTCAAATGCATAAACAAACTAACTTGGTCTTAAACAGCCTATGAAAACCAGAGATCTTCAGGGTTTATGCAAGTCCTGCGATTGAGGCACCCATTTCCCCACCCCCCAACACTTGGCACTGTGTTTAATTGAAAAGCAAAATGTAAGTAAGTAACTTCACATGGTGCAAGGCAATGGAGATGGTTGACTTCTGGTTAAGTAATATACTGCCAAGTCCCGCACGGGCTCTTTCCTACCATTCAAGCCGTTCCCCGTAACGGAGCTGGCTAGCTGCCGTTTCATGGTTTAGAACAGGGAGGAGGTTCTCTCTTCACTTGACGTTAAGTTTGCACATAGACTTACTGCGATCTGTAACAGAGCTATTCTGGGATAGGGCTCGGGCACATCAAAAACCTCCCTGAGCAGGAGGATGACTGACAGTGATAACTGAGGTGGGTTGGGAATTTGTCAGATTGGGGGGGAGGGGGGGTTTCACCCACCTCACAGGTTGGGAGAGGTTTTGGATTAAGAAAATGATGAGTGAGGAAGCAATAGTGAGAGCCCCTCCGGGGCTTGGGGAAGTGCAAGCGTTGTGCGAGGCAGCCCTGGAGCTGCTGAGACGACAGGAACGGGAGGTGAGCCCAGCCGGCCCCCGGCAGCATCCATCGGTTGTGTGCCCCGGCCCCTGGGCTCCTCCAGCACGCTGCCCCCTCACTAACTGACAGCTAACTGGTCCTTGGGCAAAACTAAGTCAGAAACCTTTGCAAATATTCCTGAAATGGAACTGGAGGGGGTTTTTTTCCCTCTGTTCTAAAAATAACATTTGAAAGGGGAATGATGGAGGATGGGGAGCCCATATCACCAGCTGCATAACTGAGGGTTATCCCAGAGCCTGCCGTGTTTCGCCTTGGGGGAAAGGGTGCAAAAGACAATCGGAGGGAGATGCACGTTGCCTAACAGCTTCAGGACAGCAAAATCTTCAATAAACCTGTCCTTTCCCTGGACTCTTGTGGCATATCACTAGTGCCTCTGGACCGTGATTTTTATCCACTTGATAGCTTCTTAGCCTTATTCACAGCTCTCACACAGCACAAAAAAATGGTCCCTTTATAAGCGAACAAAAGTAAAATTATGGAACCACAGCAAAGTGGCTGTGCTCTGTTGAAGTCCCACTGAAGACCGTTGCGCTTCCGTGAAGGTTATGCAGTTTCTCCTCTGCGTCCACGCTGTTGTCGGACGAAGCGTGTCGGTGAAGGCACAGCATGGGCTCCAGGTCTCATCAGCCGTTCACCGGTGCAGCACCGCGCTGGGCACGACAGAGCTGGGGTGGCGCACTGCTTGTTTTAGTCTTGGCCTGGTGTTTGACGCTCCGGATCACTGCCGGGCTGCGTACTCTGCTGCCACACAAAGAGCTACACAAAAATCCCAAGTTGCATTTTACACGCTTGAGTCGTCAGAGGTATGTAAAGCAAAACGAAAAAATGCAAAAAATCTTAGCTGCCAACCAGAAAAAAAGCCATTAGCTCTTTTCCAGAAAAGCCTTTTTTTTGCATGAGAACCTCAGCACTTGCAGGGCACACTGTACCCTCCTCAAACTGTGACTTTCCGTGTTGAGTAGCTTGTGGTTACGTGAGGTGCCTGGTGGCAGCGGTTCCCGCGTGTCCGAGGGCGCTGCAGTGGAGATCCTCAGCAAAACTCCCCAGCTCTGTCTCCGTGTCGCTGGTGCAGGTACGTGCTCTCTGGAAAGCAGAGAGGGCTTTTAGCTAGCAAGCTGGGACGTCACCGAGCATTATCAACTAAACTTAGCACTAACTAACAAGAGAGACTAGTCACAACGTCTTGTAAAGCCTTTATGTGTTGAACGTTCGTTATGAAACAAATGCTTCAGAGTCCTAAGTTATGACTCATTTTGCAAAATGAAGGCATTTCAAACCGGTGCACTGAAAGAGGGGGTTCACTATTCATCAGCCAAGAAGTTTGGTGAGATAAGAGGCAAGAAAGAATTTGGAGTTTGACAGGAGAGCTTGACTGTCACCAGAGGCTTGAAATTCACATGGAGGCTGGTCACTGCTGTGTGACCAGCAAAGGGACCGAACGGGGGAGCGCTGGTCTCTTCTGAACAGGGGCTGTGAAAGCAGCGTTATTTTCCTGCTATCAGCTCAGGTCTGTCCTCCAGTGTCCTACCAAAGTCACGCAATGGCCAAATCTATATCCGACTATTTGTTGTGCTGCCTCAGCGCGGGAGAGCGCAAGCGGCTGGGGAAGGCAGAGCTGGGGCTGGGAGGTCTCTGCCGTTGGCCCCAGCGCCGTGGTCCTAGCTCCCTGGCTGTCGCTGAGGACGCGTCTCTCCATGGCAGAGCACCAGGAGGAGGTGGCAGCACGTTTCGAGGCAGGGCCGAATAAGCAGCAGCAAAGCCAGACCCTGACCCCTCGCCGCTAAGTGAGGCTGCACGGGCCAGATAGGTGTGCAGAACCTGTCTCCCCGGTGGTGACACAGGACCACCGGAAGCAGTAGTTTAGCTGTGTGAGAAGGTGAGCGTGAAAGGTCAGCAGGGAGACAGAGAAGTGCTCATCTGGGGTTGAGCAAAGCAGCCGCAGAGTCGCGTTGCCACCTCTGCAGGGCGTCTTCCTCAGTTGACCCCGATGTTTACGCTCAAAATTTAGGAACTGACTGCTCACAAAGAATAGCTGCCCTCAGTTTCCTTCTCCTCGGTGATCTCAGCAGAGATACTACGGCCATGTCTTCACCACTGCCTGCAGAGGTGCCACCTCCCTCTGACCGAGGGTGGCCATGGTCTCAGATGGCCACGTTATCTCCAGTTACCATACCGTGTCAGGCACGGCTGGTGTGGGTGGCTCTGCGCTGTGTCCAGCTGGGAGAGTAAAATGGCACAGGAACGGGCTCATCGGAGGATCGCAGCCATCCTCCAGGGCTGAGGGCAGGAGGGGAGTTTGCCTGCTGCTGCTCTGGGGTAACCAGAAAGCTCCCATGGTTTCCAGTTTAGCATTGTCTACCTGTGCTGAGTTCACTTTAAATAAAAAGATGACTAAATATAATGCAGTGCTGCTTCTGATAATATAAAACAGCCTTTCTAAGCTCACATTTTCTAAATATTGCTTAGCTGCAAAGTTAATATTTGCCATTTCTCATATTCCGATTTGTGATACCATACGTCATGTTGCTTTACACTGATGACTTTAATTAAAACAAACTGAAACATTTTATCATAATCTTTTAAGCCTGTTTCCTTGACCAGACCATGGAATAATAACAATACCAAACTAATCAAACCCAAATTCTGAGGGGACAAATTAGAATCAAGTTACTGAGCAGTGTTTCCTGTGAGCAGACAATGAGGAGTTTTATCTTATCTGTAAGGCAAATGTATTTCTCAGGAAGCAACAGCAAGCATAATAAGGCTTAAAACCAGCTTAACAGTAGGACCAAACATTTCTCATTGTTAGGTTTCACAAAGCAAATCGGCTCTCCAGGAGTCGAACTGCAGCCGCTGCCAAGGCAGGAGCATGTGTCTGGCTGCGCCCTACGGCAGGAGCAATTGCAGCAGGTTTCCCTGCAAAGGCAGAGCTATAGATACGGCACCATGTGACTGAAACGCATTGCACGTTAGAAAAGCTCTAGACAATGGCTCTTAATCCTTCCTCCAGCCCAGTACGCTGGAGAAAACCTTTCCCATTTTATGTTGTTTTCATTTGTTTTTAACCCTCCCCATAAAGCTTAATCTGCAAACAAGGCCAAATCATGAGCTGCTGTAGCCTGGAATTTGTAGAGCCTACAGCTGCTTTGGGTCAGAGAAGGGGATCACAAAGCCCGCTGAGAAGTTAGCCGCAGCAATCACAATTGCATGAACAGCCTCACAACTAGTTAAATTCAATGGCTAATTTTATTTCCTACTCATAGTTAATGGTTATGCATGTTGTTGCATTAATTGCACCCACAAATTATCTATTTGGCAAGTTTTGCCTAAGACATTTTAAAATGTAGCATATATTTAATATTAACAAGAGAAATTGCAATTCATAAGGCTTTAGCAGTACAAATTACACGCTCAACCAGTAGCCTTCTAGGAACACAAACACAAGTATTGTTTCTGTTAAAAAAGAAAAAGAAAAAAGTAACTAAAATGCTTTTTTACCTCATAGTCATTTGGGAAGGCATCTTTAAATTTGTTCCTGGGTGTTGGAATTGGTGGAAACAGTTTACTCCATACGTGGTTTCTGTGAAAAACAGTAATGGAGGGATATGAAAGAATTGTCCTCTCTAATTGAAGAAGTTTCTAAAAAAATAAACCAGCAGGTGCTTATGCCCAGTGGCTGCGTTGCCATGAACTTTATTTGAAATCTGGGAGGTTTGGCCTCCGCTTCCTTGCTCCTGGGAGGCACTGGAGGAGAGCTAGCCCTACCAGGGGAAGAGGTTACTATTGCTGCATGAAGCAAAAGAGTCTAAGTCATGTCTTCTCCCACCCCTTGGCCCCTCTTGCTCCAATGCCGCTCAGTAATTACCATCTGGAGGCTGATGGTAGCAGCAGGTTCAAAGGGGATTAGATGAAGGAGTAGATAATGGTCCGTGCATGGATGCTCTAAGGACTAGGCAGGTGTGCCTTTGCTAGTAGGACATTCTGGCTCGTGGGGGCGCAAGGACCACAAGAAGGAGCTAGGCTGGCGTGCTCGCCTTAGCTGCGCTCCTGTTGCAGTGTTGCCGAGTTGTGGGCTAGATGGTCCGATCCACTGGGGCTTCGCTGAGGTTTTTAACTGCTAATAGTAGGCCCATCTTCAAAAGAAATTAATTGCTCTGATCCGTGTTTGAGCGCTCGCTTCTTCCCAGCGGCAGCATTGTCACATACCTTATTTGGGCATTTGAGACCATTTGCTGCCTCTTGCTCAAAGTATGGCTTCTGGACATCATCTGCCCATGTCTCATGGCAGGAGAGCCGTGCAAGTAATTGTGTGCTAAGGGAAGCAGGAGGAGGCAAGAATGGGACAAGAGATGGCTGACAGTAAACTGTTCCCCTTAGCAGTGTAACAACTCACCCCGTTGATGTACTTCGAAATGCTCCTTCACTGCCTGAAACTCTTTAGTCTGGCTCAAGCATTTACACGTATGTCTTTTTGTGATACTAAATGTTGCAAAGTGCCTTTGTCTGCCAAAACTTTCTCTGTTCTTTGATATATCCCAGAGTACAGCATTCACATGTGAACCACTAAAATGAATTCATTAAAACCTATAATTTACCTCGGGACAGCGTGAAGTCTAAATGGGGCCAGATTTTAATGGGAACTTTGCTTGAGTGAAGACTGCAGGATTTAGCCCAGAATTAGTATCCAGAGCCTGTTTCTGGGAGCTGGCTTGACTTCCAGGAAGCCAAATATGTAGACGCAGAGGACTGGCTAAGGGTAGAGAAGGAGCTGGCACTCCTCCTTTGCCCTTCATCCTGGCATCAAGGTCAGATCTTTGGCTCCTGTGCCCAGTTTATTTTGTGTCTGTTCCCCGGGTTGATGTCTGGTTAGTACAATGCTTACATTATTATGACTATTCTTCTTTCAACAGCTTTTTGAATTCCTGTCAAGTTTTCTTTTATCCTATTATTCCTCCTCACCAGGGAGTCTAAAATAAATTCCTGCTGCTAACTTATTCCTTTTCATAGCTTTCATTTTGAGATATAAAAATTCCTCATTTCTCTCCCACACCCTCCCCCCGAAAGAGGATCTTCAAAGTATCTTCTGACAATGAGTTAGGAGTTAAACCTTCTTGGCAGAGCTGCTACTGCCTTAAAGGATACGTCGATGCTTAACCGTAATTATTCGGTGAAGTGAAGCCGTATACCACCTTTCACAAAACAGGTCTGACCTAGCAAACTATAGGACATCTTGTCATTGCTGCCCAGGGAACAGGTTTTGTGGCTGAGGTGCAGAGCATGGAGTGGGAATGCGGGGAGACAATGCAGGATGCAAAAGAGCTGTTCTTGGGGGACATGTGCATCTCCGCTGTTGAAAAGCTGAAAGTCGTCTAACCAGCACTGGCTGCACGGGGGAGGTGACTGCGCAGTCGCACCTGGCAGAGCAGGTCACTAACGTGGTGCTGTGTAGCCCAGGAATGGGACTGGGATGAATGGGAATAATAACACTCTGCCTGCTGGCATCGTTTCAGCCCGTCTCAGCTTTCCTGCTAACGGTTAGGTCTTTTGCATCATATTAACGGGTGACTGTACTCATGTGAGCATGCTGCATTCAAGTAGCAACGTTGCAAGCTCTGCTGTAGATACTCAGCCTTCATGGCTGAACATACTGTACTCAATCCTGTTTCCCAAGCCTCGCCGAAGGAAGGCACTGGAGGCCACATGATCTAGCCTATAGCCTCACTACCCGTGGAAAGCTTATTAACCTGAGACAGACTCTGTGTTCAAGCTCCAACAAGGCCCACTAAGGTCAAAATATAGGTCACTCTCCTTAAAGCATGGGGCGGTTTTGCGCGAGAGGAAGCCAATGAATGAGTAAGAGTTTGCTTTAACTGTGCAAGTTTAAATTATTGTTGTCTTGTGACATGACAAAGGACCATTTTCCTTTCTTAAACCAGGTTTACATTGGAACTTGACATTAGATTAGATTAGATCTAAATGCAGTAAAATAACTGCTCAACTGAAACAGGATCACTTAAGTACAGCCGTGATCGAAAAAGGCCCTTGATAGCAAGGTATTTAGCAAGCCTGGCCTTTCTATGGGAATACATAGGGACTGGTTCACCCCCCCCACACACACACACCCCTTAACAGGAACCCTGAGTCTTCCCGTCGTGCTGGAAGAACCAGATTACCCTCCGCCTCCTGGGCTCATGGAGAGGACAAACTAGTAGTTTAGCTTTGCCCAAACTGGTTCGAAAGTGTCAGTGGCATGTGTCTTTTGAAGGCCTGAGGGCAGATTAGTAAAAGGTTGAGTGACTGTCACTGTTACGTGCCATGGGGACACCTGCCTACAGTGAGCTGAACAGCCTCAGAAGGAGCCAGCGTGGAGAAAGGTGGTAGCAGGAGATGGAGAGGCTCTCTGAGCATTTTGGACAGCTGTGGAGGAACCTTTGCAAAATGCGCAAAGAAACAAAGACAGGGATGCTTTCTGCTCTTATTTTAGCTCTGAGCGTGGTTGTGATTTATGCTGTTGCTGTATAATACAGCCAGTAAGATCTGCTTTTGTTTCATTTTGTTTGGAATTGGTGCATTCCTAATTGTGCTGTTTATCATTAAAAGATTTTGATCAAGTCATACCAGAATTATTTATTGAGTCAGCAAAAAGCATAAGTAACGTCACTTCTGGAAGAGAGATACTTCAGAAGCGGGGTGCATGAACACCCAGTGGAAATGAGGCAGAAGCAAGCTAAAGAGCCCACTTGGATTCTTGGTGGCTGTTTGCCCCATCACCTGCAAGATTTTTTGTTGTGAGGCATTGGTGGGGTTGGTTATAATGGTCGTCTCAGAACGGGCCTGTTCTTTTTGGCAGGACACTGCAAAGTTGGAGTTAAGTGAATTAATATTTTTGTCACAAAAAATGTTCCAAAGTCTCTGCTTTCCTCTACACTGCCTGGATCATGGCCCCTTCCATTTGCCCTGATTGGACCCTCAGGCTTTGGCAGAGATGCTCCAGGGGACCCTCATGGCTTAACTCAGTGTTTCAGGGCCTCAAGCTGTTGTGCTTTGTCTTTCCTTCTGAAATTCAGCGCTCTTTTTCCACAGACTGTGTCATTAAAGGGCCAAAGAGAAATAAGTAAAAGAACAAGTTCTTCTTTCCCCTCCTCTAATCTCTAAGACAAGACTGAAAATATGTTTATTTCCAGAGTATTTTAGAATGCCTCTTCAGCGTCTTGCCTCCCCTGAGATTCCCTGTGACGTGTTCCAGGTGACTTCCCCGCAGTGGCTGTTTGGTGACTCTGCTGGTGCACGTGTGTGGGATACAGAAGAGAGAGGGGTACCTGCTGGTGGGTGGGATGGCCACACTCTTATGAGGGTATGCAGGGCTGCTGAATGTATTTTCGAGTGACTATCCTGATCTCAATTAAGCGGAGAGCAGCTGGGAGCAAGTTACTAAGTACATCCTCCTGTGGGCTCACCCTCCAGGAGAAAATGTTATTCCAAGACACAGCCTAAGGAGATACAGAAGATGCTCATTCAGAAAGACAGTAGGCAAACTAGGAAAACATTCAGTTGAGGTTTTTTTTCAAGGCGGTATCCCCATCTGTTTGTGCAAGTAAGCAAAGGGAAAAGACTAGCCAAACAGTCCCAAAGAGCTACTTTGCCTTGTAGTATTTTTCCAAAACAGTGGTCTTTATCGCTGGTGCAGGCAATCACCAAAAAGTACACAGAAAAATTTATAGAACTCTTTGGTATAATGAAATTCCTTATAATGCCTTCAAATCATATCACATTTGAAATGATTCTGTGGCTTGGATCACACGATACACTTCATGAATTCTCAACAGCGGCGAAAACTGAGAGTATGACTGAAACTGTGATCCAGGGAACTTGCTCTAATTTTCTTCTTTTTTTAAATCTGCAGCTACAATAAATGTGCAGGCTAAGCACTGCATTTGATCTTTTTGCGCATCCCACCTCCTCCCAACGTGGGGTGGCAGATTAGAGAAAGGGAAGATCAAGAAAAGAGGGTGGCAAGGATATTGAGCAGGGAAGGGTGGCGTGAAAATAGCAAGTTCATGAAATTTAATAAAGCAGAGAGATAAAATTTTAATCACTTTTGGCAAAGATGGTACGTAATGAGCCTTCTGGGTGCTAGGGAGTTCTATACCAGCCAGGCAGAGAGACACTCCTGGAAGCAACCAATGCACTGGCAAGCAGCTGAACCCGGAAAAGCTAGTTTAAATTTGCCTAATGTAATAAAGTTCCTAAAATGTATTAGTACAGCTTCTTTGAGCTAGTCTGTGGGTAGAACTCCTCCCCTGTATCTTTTTCTTCCCCTGTATCTGTTTCAGGCTCTTTGCAGGGTGTAGTCGCGTCATAACCAAATACTTGCTGAATCTTACGGACAGTAAGTGATCACTCATCTACTAGGCAAACACCAATGGACGCAAAGAATCAAAGAAAATTTTGATGGCTTCTTGGATGTTTGTTATGGTGTTCCAGGACACTTGTGGATTTTTATCCACATAATTCTGGAGTCTATGGCAAAAATGAAATCCAGTTCTTCATTGTATGGATTGTAGTGGGAGTATTACTGGAGCCCTTGTGCTATCATAGTTCCTTTGCTTTGACTCAGCAATGAAGCTCTTTTAGGAGGGCTCTGACAGTGTCTGTAGATTCTTGTACTCTAGGACTCTTCTGTGGATGGGCCTGGACACACAAACCTCCAAAGCAGGCAGTCAAGCCTGAGATTTCTGAAGATCTCCATAGGAAAACATGGAGCTTCGTGACTGACTGCTACTGCCAATATGTGAACTCACTGCCAACTGGTATTGGCAGGTGATGTTTGGCTGCCCCACACAGAGAGGAGGCTGCTGGACAAGGTGACACTGGAACAGTGGAGGACCTACAGACATAAGGACAGGTCAATCCATAAAGGAATCAGTGTTTTAAGGAAGAGTGGTTTGAGGATTTCCACTAACACGTTAAAGCTGCTTAGTTAGGCACAAGTTAGTATGAAGCAGAAAGTGAATAAACTCTCTGCAGAGTTAATCTATTTTGTTCCAAAGAGGATTGCTTATTGAGACCTGCTACGATAACTAAATTGACTTAAGTTTATCATAGATACCAGACACTTTAGGGAGAATTAATTACAGTTATTCTAATACAACATGTCTGCAGACAAGACCTTTATTTGATAAAGGAAATGTAGTATGGAAAGGAAAATAGCTAAGGACACATCAGGATGGCCAATAATTTAAAGAGCATTAAACAAATTAATAAAAAATTAGCAGATTCAAAGACAGCACTTACATTACTGGGAGCTATGTTGACTGTGGACCTGATAATTGCTGCTTGCTACACGTTTCAGGGAAGAAGCTGGTAATTACATCGTTGATTCTTTAATTCATCACTTATGACCTGACTAGTCACTGCTACAGAAAGTCAAAGCGCGTCTGGGTTTTTTTTACAGAATGTTTTGAGAAGCTTGGCTATAGGGTATCTGTTTTCACTACCTGGCATCCATAGCCTCTGTAGTGATTAAAAATAAGCTGCAACAAATAGTTAAAAAATTTGTAACAAACAGCAGTTAAACGCATTTGCTGTTGTTAACGGGTAAATAGGAGCAGCAAGCACAAAGGCCCTGAGTTTTTAACCTTCACAGAGCATCTACCGTGCTCCCTGTCATCACCTGAAATTCAGACTATGTGTACGGGGGGCCTAAGATAGAGTGTAGATGTGCAGGCTGAAGAAGACAAGACTGGGAATATATTGGCCTGTACACGTTAGCTGTGAAGGATCCTCTCAGCAGCTTTCACTGGGGTTAAAGATGGAATCCTCCTGTGGAAATCATTGACCCAACTAGAGCCATTTAAGTTAGAAAAGAAGATAAGGACAAACAGTTTTTTGACAGGTTCACCTCACTCAGTATAAGGTTTTGTCATTTAAAATGAAAGTGAATAACCCTCTTGCCCCACCCGTTTTGTTGAATGTTATTATTGATAATTAATGAGACTGATTATCACTTATTCAGTACTTTCGTTTTGTATAATTATGCTTGAACACCAAACTCAGTGCCCTTTCTGAAAATTAAGCAATGCTTTTAATGTCACCCCACATCCGTTCAACACCTAGTAATTAGACTGTAATTAGAAAGAAGATGTTGATACTTACATTTTGCATATTATTGCAACAAGCAGGGCTATGGAGCATGAGGACACACAAAGCAGAGCGAGAATCCAGGCTATGGAATTCTTCTGTTTGTTTCCCCCTGAATTTTAAGAAAAAAGAAATTATATATATTTTTAGTGCAGATTATTTCAAACACACTTTTAGAAAGATTTCATCAGCTGGTTGCTATGATTATATTCAAGCAATCACAATTTAATAAGCATACTATGAACGTTTCATATCTAGTATTAGAAAAGAAACTTGCAGCTTCAAGAATTGTTTCCGTGACATTGACTTTCTGCTTTCACTAATAGATTTCTTTCATTTTAATATGAAGGAGAAAGCAAGCTCAGAAGTGCGAGGAGCCAGGCCTGTGAGCACTACTAGGATGATGTGATCGGGTATGTTAACATCCTGAGATGTGCAGTTCCATGCAACACACGCACGTCTGGTACTCAGCAAAAACACTGTTTGCTTATAATCTCAGGCACAAACAGTTTGCTTTCCATTAAACCATTCTTCATTTCTGTTAATCCTTTATAGCCAGAAAGTGACTTGTCTGGCTTAATAAACTTGCCTGTAAAAGAGACATTGAAACCACCAATTTTTCTTGTGGGTTAGTTGCTTATATTCCCTCAGAAAGAATTCCTCTAGTGCCTCTGCCTGCGAGCAGAAGCATATTTTTATCAAGGACAGTGCTTCTATTTTTAAAAGGCATGCTTAGTGACCAGGAACATTATTTTGTGCCACATTATGCCATATAACAACGACATTTACATTGAACTGCTTTTTCAAAAGGTTGCTGAGTCTGTGTGTGCTTATGATAAGTACATGTCCTATATTTCAAGATGTCAGCACAGCCATTACTAGGTAATTGAAAGGACATAAATCGGGCAGCAGCAGGAGTGTTGGGTTTATTGATGCTATAGACAAAACAATATTCAATTTTGGTCAGATTTGTTTCTGTGAAATGAGGAGCTGAGCCTGCTATCTCCACTGATAGCTGTAGTCACTGCAGTCACTAAGATCAATGTGGATAATGCCATGAGCAAAGGATTGCATGACTCAGCTCTGGTCCTTTGTACCATTGCAACAGCGATACACAGTTAACCTTTCAACTACAAATGGGTTTAGATGGTTAATTTTGTGTTCAGGATTATCATTACTCTTACAAGAAAATACGATTTAGGATGTAACTGTCAATCCTGCCAAGTTATGTGTAGTGTAAGTCTGGAGGATCATGGGGCCAGGGTGTGGAAAATGCTTAAGTCCCATAAAATCAATTTTAAGCTTCCCAGCACAAAGGCGGGGAAATGTCTGTGTTTTCCAGAGCAAAAATTGAAAAGTAGTAAGATCGTTCCATCTTTCATTGGTTGGCAGTGGCCCCCAAAAAGGCATGATCAGGCATCACTATGTCTCACTACACTGAGATATAGGTGTGGGACAAAAAGCAGTTAGAGGCTGGGCTATTGCCATGTGGATTTGCACAGTGAGCTCCTCCTTGGGCTTCCTTCCAGGATGTACCAGGAGTTACCAGCCCAGCACAGCGCGCTGTTGTGACTAACCACATGCAAATGCACATCGAGAGATTTCCCCGTAATACACTAACCAGCCGAGACAGGCAAACAGAGGGAAGACATGAAACTTGCTCAGAAGCACCCAGCAAGGTAACAGCAAAGATAATCAGATGGGCAGAAGTACATATTGAAATCCAGCAACTTGCACAGTAACTTATACTGTAACAAGCCTTTAAAAAGCTCTCTTCATAAGTAGGAAAAAATGAAGATTTGTAAAACTAATTAGACTTGTCCTCGGATATTTTGGACATTTTTGCAAATTTTCATGGAAGGCTACCTTCCTTTTTTTTTTAATCATCAAAATGAATTTTCCGTATTTGCCATTTGCTCTCCGTTAGTAGTGGAGCCCATAAGGAAGATGTTTCCAGGTTCCTCAGCCACTGTCACACTCTGCAGCAAAGAGAGCTAGTGCTTCCTCTGACATAAAGGTGTCCTCAACTGGTTCGGCTTTGCCGAGGAAGCAGAATCAGGACAACATAAATGTGTTGTGAAGTACTTCTCAGCCCCAGATGTACTTCTCAGCCCCAGAGTTGGCTTATGGATTTTCTAAACAGTGAACCATGGCAGCAGTTATTCATACATACCTACTTTTTCACAGATTTGATTTTTATCAGTCTTGCATAGTTAATGGGCATCGCCAGTCTACTTGGCCCTAGTAATGATTTTGTATCTAGCTTTGTTTGACTGTTAACGCTTCGAAACAACTTATTAGAGAAAGGTGGCATCAAGGTGCATTTTTACAATGGCTAGTTTGGCAGTGTATGGCTACGTTTCACAGGGTTTAATCACCACAGGCCAAAGAAAGGAATCATAATTGTGTTTCAATTTTTAATGAAGTTAGAGGCTTGCTACTACAGGATGGACAGTCTAGTCCAGTGTTTTTACTCAGGATAAGGGCTCAGAAGAGGTCTAGTGGTCTTAAGACTGGACTCATTGGAATATTTCCCAGCTAGGTGCACAAGGCTAATAAACTGCCCCAGCGGTATTTGGCCAGCCCCTTGGTAAGCTGTTGGCCTGCTGAGCCTCCCTTCCTGAGACCCAGCCTGTGCCATGAAGCTGGCTGGGAGAGCTGAGGGGATGGATTAGGGCTTAGGAGGCAAAGCACAGGCAGATTTAATCACATTCACTAGCAAACAGATAGATACAAGAGGGAAAAGTACAGTAAACAGGAGAGAGTAATGGACTTCTTTTTTTCTAGTGAAAACCAGGAAGTGAAGAAACTCAAAAGATAAGAGCAAGGGAGGATGTCTAAGAGCAAACAGTTGATAACGTGCCATGATAAGAAAACTGTTATTTCCAGAAAAATATGTTCAGCAAGCAGGAGATACAGAATGAAGTGGGGCAAATCATCATGTTCCAAAGACACGAAACCGTCCTATGTTTTCCCACATTTAAGAGTTCAGATAGCTCCAGTAAAGTAATACTTGACATGACCATTCTTATTAACCTCCAGCACAAACATCACAATGTTTGCCAGGGAAATACAGATAAAAACTACAGAAATAATACAGGTGTGTTGAATTCCTCGGATATGATCTCAAGCCGAGCTATTGCCAACTCTTGAGTCTTTTCAGAATTGACAGGGTAAAAGAAACTGCTTCAGGCTAGGAACCAGGTGGAGCGTTCTATGAAAACTAGAGGTACTTCCAAAATGTCTGGGGAGGTGGCATCCCTCTCTCTGCATTATGATGGAAATAATGCTCCAAAATCAGAAAATCAGAGGAAATATGGATTTCTCCACTAAGACTAACTGGTCTTTCAGAAGGACTTGCTTTACTTTTGTTTATAGTTTATTTAATGCTTTCTAGCTAGTTCTAAAGCTTGGATGCCTCAGTATTCATTTTTTCTGGGTCTTTCTTAGTAGTGATACAGCCATAATGATGTTTATGCACATAGAAACATAGCGCATAGAAATATTTATTTCTCTTTGCTGTGTTCATTGATAATTTTGATCCTTGAAAATATATTTACTCTCACCGATTTTAAAAGAATCTTAGGACTTAAGTTAGTTTAAAGCAGTCTCTGAAAACGCAAGCATGCAAAAACAAAACACTGTCTAAAAAAGTCCTGTATACGTCCAAAAGTTTGTTTGGGTCCTTGTTTGTTTGTTTGCTTGTAATGGAGCAAAGACTCAGCTACCCTTGGCAATAACAAGTCAGTTTCCTTCCTCAAATATGTATTTTCCTGGCTTCTCTTGAAATTACTTGGTGTTGTGCATGCTCATGATTAGGCAGTGTTTGCTTTCAGCAATGTATTAATATTTATTACGAGACAGAAGCATGTCACTCTTACCAACATAACGAATTTCACTCCAGTCACTCCAGAATCCTCTTTCACAACATATGTAATGATTAGCTCGTATCTGTATGGAATATCTGCAGGTAACATCAATTCTCAGTCTGAAGTCATTTGATGATACTTTCAATATCTGTTAAAAAACCAATATTGTTCTGTTACAGATTGCTTAAGACTAAAAAATTCAGAAAGTAAACTTTAATCATGTTTATTACAGTTTTTTTTTTTTTTAACTCCTTTACTAGATTAACAGTGAACATCAAGCCTCGTCTTATACGTAAGATCTTTATTTTTGCAGGTATAATTTCTTTACTAGTACAACCATAGTTCAGAGCCAAGTTTTTGAAAGATGTCTCATTTTCGGATCCCTCCTTCACACACTTAATGCTGGATTTTCAGAATTGTCCATTATCTCCAGGCATATACCTCTCCTCTTCTGAACCCAGGTGCATAAAACTGAGTAACTCCAATTCTTGCCCTTCTGTTTTCCTAGCTCACTTGGGGGTAGTTTGTGGCAGACATAAAAGATGTCCGAAAAAAGAGGAAGAATTTGAAAACTGGTGAGACTTTGTCTTTGTTGAGCCCTAGTGACTCGTGGGACAGAGGTTTCACTGGAAGTCCATAGTTTGAAAAAGGAAGCAATAGCAGGTTTGATTTCAAATCATTCTAAATGTGTGACATGTCCATGAATCTGAAGACTTTTTCACCGGGCTGCAACTTCTAGCTATACAGGGCAGTCAACTCACTCAGAGAGAGGAACACTATGTAAAACCTGGGCATAATAGAAGTAATTA